CAGATCTCCCCCCCCCCCAAATCTGTGGCTCAGTGGCATTGCTGAGGGTTTAAGAGATAGTAGTAGTTAACTGTTCCCTGGAAGGCCAGATACCGAAGCTCCAATACTTTGGCCACCCAATGAGAAGGGAGCCCTCACTGGAGAAGACCCCGATGGTGGGGATGATTGAAGGTCGACGTAGAAGGGGACAGCAGAGGATGAGATGATTAGACAGTGTTATCGATGCAGTGAATGTGAAACTGAGCAAACTCCGGAGGATGGCGGAAAACTAGGGTTGCCAAGTCGAAAAAACTACTTACCGGGGGACTCCTCTGGGGCGGGGGACATGGGAAGCCTACGGAAGACAGGAGGGCCTGGCATGATGCGGTGCATGGGGTCACGAAGAGTCGGACTCGACTGTGCGACTGAACAAAAGTAGTTAAGCAGACAGGAACAAAGAGGAAACTACCAGCAGAAAATAAGAAAAACTCCCCAGACACACACACACAAAAAATCAAATTCCACGAATGCGAGACATTACAGTCTAACTGAAATACAGAATCATCACTATCACATGTGAACGTTAATATTCTGAATAATTACGACAATTCAACAAGTGAATATTTTATTTATTTATTTATTTATTTATTTATTTATTTTTCACACTTATATCCCGCCCTCCCCAGTGGGCTCAGGGCGGCTAACAGAGGCCAGATCATTAGTCTAGCCATAAGTAAAAACATATAAAAATATAATAAAACATCAAAACTAAGACTAAAGTGCTCTATCCAGTTACTAGTGTCCTAGATCCAAGATGGTATCCCCACGACTCGAGCTGGTATTCTCAGCGTACATATCCAGTGGCGATGGCGTTTCTGATGTAATTCCAAGTTCTTCCTGGGGTGGTGGTATAGTAGGGAATACAAACATATTTAACAATATGAAACGCAAACCCCATAGAGTTTGAAGCTGACGTGGACAATGTAAGTAGACTGAAATGGCTTTTTTGTCACCTTTATCTTGCCCCCTTAAAACTTATCTTGTCTGTGTCGGCTTTAAACTCTATAGGGTTTGCTTTTCATATTGTTAAATATGTTTGTATTCTCCTGTTGAATTATCATAATTATTTAGAATATTAGTGTTTACATAATGATGATTCTGTATTTCAGTTAGACTGTAATTTCTTGCATTGGTGGAAATTGATTTTTTGTCTCTGGGGAGTTTTCCTTGTTTTCTGCCGGGGGTTTATGAGATAGCCGTCTGTTCCAGGGCAGCCCTTTTTTCCAACTGTGGCTAATCATCTCTTCCACCATGATAGAGAATCATAGAGTTGGAAGGGACCTCCAGGGTCATCTAGTCCAACCCCCTGCACAATTCAGGAAATTCACAAATGCCTCCCCCTTCACATCCACAGTGACCGATGTTCTACGCCCAGAAGATGACAAAAAACCTCCAGGATCCCTGGCCAAACTGGCCTTAGATAACTTATATATCTATTTGTTACCCCCGTCCTCCACAAATTCCCGGGAGGATCGGCGGGACGGTATGCCCCCTTCCTTCTTAGGGACCTCGAATCGGAAACCTTGGGCAGAGGTACCGGATTGTGTGCAGCTGCCAGAGGTACAGTGTTGATTCGATGACACATATTTGCTTTTCAAGCAAACCCTGGTTAATCGAAAAAGCGAAGCTTTGAGGCAAAACTGGCTAGCACCGTGTGATTTGAGTGTCCCCAGGCTGTTTGGCTGCGGAACGGCATAGAAGCTGCCTCATTTGGTGAGAGCCAGTTTGGTTTAGTGGTTAGAAGCGTGGACTCTGATCTGGGAGAACTGGGTTTGATTCCCCACGCCTCCACGTGCAGCTGCTGGTGTGACTTTGGGTCAGTCAAAAGTGATCTCAGAGCTGTTCTCAAGAGCCAGTTTGGTGTAGTGGTTAAGTGCGCGGACTCTAATCTGTGAGAACCGGGCTTGATTCCCCACCCCTCCACTTGCACCTGGCTGGATGACCTGCTCTGGCACAGCTGTCCTTGAAAAAGAGCAGTTTCTGTCAAGAGCTCTCTCAGCCCCACCTACCTCACAGGGTGTCTGTGGTGGGGAGGGGGAGGGGAAGGAGTTTGTAAGCCGCTCTGAGACACCTTTGGGTAGTGAAGGGCGGGGCATAAATCCAATCTCTTCTTCTTCTTCTTCTTCTTCTTCAAGAGCAGTTCTCGAAAGAGTGCCTGTTGTGGGAAGGGGAAGGGAAAAGGGACTGTAAACCACTCCCTTGGGTAGTGAAGGGCGGGGTATAAATCCAATCTCTTCTTCTTCTTTGTGCGGACTCAGACAGTCGGTCCACCTCACCTAGAATTGTCCATTTCGACCAGCAGTGGCTCCTGAAGGTCTTTCCCACAGAATCCTTAAGCAGGAGGCCTTTTTCCCTATGGGTTCTAATCATCCCAGTGGGTACGCGACTGTCACTTCGGAGACGCAGACTCCAAAGCGTTACTGCCACAAATTAAGGGGTTTAATTAAGCGTAGATACTGCCGGGAATTGAACTGGGGACCTTCTGCGTTCCAAGCGGGGGGACTCTGCCACTGAGCCACGGCCCTTCCCCTTGACCGCGTGGAGTCAGAAACCTCTTGGTAGCCTCTGATCATTATGCTGGACTTCCCCCTCCCCCGGTGCATTATTTTTTACAGTTCATGATGTTGTGTGAGCATCGCGTGAACAAGGAGAGAGGCCTACAAACCCTCCTGTGTTACATCTAGCACAGACATTACACACACTCCCTACAACCGTTGCTTGCAGGGCTATTTTTGGGCAGGAACGCGCAGGAACGGAGTTCCGGCTGGCTCCCAAGTTGGCCACGCCCAGCAGGAACTCATTAGCATAACAGGCCACACCCAGCAGCAGAAACTCATTAGGATTGGCTACATTAGGGGTGTGTGGCCTAACATGCAAAGGAGTTCCTGCTCCAAAAAAGGCCCTGGGTTTTGACAACAAACAAGGTAAACAGAATAAGAAGCAAAAGGTGGGTGTGGCTGGATGACCACACTTCTGGTAACGTGGGGGTGCGACCTAATAGGCTAATGAGTGTTGCAAACAGGGGTGTGGCCTAATATGCTAATGAGTTCCTGCTGCTGGGTGTGGCCTATTATGCTAATGAGTTCCTGCTGGGCTTTTTCTACAAAAAGAACCCTGGGTTTGTAAGTGGAAGGTAGTCTTGGGCTAGGCAGAGGGTGGTTGTCAGGCAGGGATCCCTGTTGAGCCAGGATTTCAGGCTGTGGTTTGTGGAAGGGGGGTCTTTAAGCCCCGGTTAGCGTCACTGCAGCCAGGTTGACGAAGCCACCAAGGAAAGGGAAAATCCTCTGCCTTGAAGAGTGGGAGCGCCAGGAGCAGGGAGACATTCCCTAGGCTGGTCCTGTATCCGCAGGCCATGTTTCGTGGTGTGTCTTTGTCAGCTTTCAGAAAAACGGTGCCCACGTTGGCCCTTCAGTGCCTCTGAAAACGTATTTTTGGCTGTTCGGAACACCTAGTTCGGAAGGGACCGGAAAGGCCCTGTAATATCTTCCCTGCGAAGGGAAGCGCGGGTCTCTGCAAGAATGGATTTTCTTTGCTCGCTAAGCCACCGAGGCGAGTGTTTTCCCTCGTTTGTTCAGCTTCTCGCAAGGAGGAGGTTCCTTGTCTGGTGGCTCCATATTATATTCTATAGTAGACACTGTTTTTTGCCGTTGCTTACTGCTGAGCTGCAGACCGGAAGGTCGGTACTTCAGCAGTTCAAGACCCGAGTGCCACGGGATGGAGCGAGCTCCCGTCTCTGGCCCCACCTCCTGCCAACCTAGCAGTTCGAAAGCAAGAAACTGCAAGTAGATAAATACCACTTCGGTGGGAAGGGAACAGCGTTCCGTGCGCCTCGGCGTCTAGTCATGCCGGCCACACGACCACGGAGAAGTCTCCGGACAGCGCTGGCTCTTCGGCTTGGAAACCGAGATGAGCACCACATCCCTAGAGTCTGATTCGACTGGCTTTCGAGCAAGGGAAACCTTTGCCTTTACATTTCGTAGCCAAAGGGGTTTGCTTTGGTAGAACAAAACTCTAAGAATCCTGTTTGGCAGTCGCGCTTCTTCTTGGGCCCCTTGGGGGATGGGGTCAAGGGTGGGGTCCCCAGATGCTGGCTTCCCCCCCCCCACTCCCTCCTTGCCCGTGTTTTGGAATGGGGCGCGTAGTGGGGTGCCTCTAGGCTGGTGGTTCTCAACCTTCACAAAGCAGGGCTCCCTTCTAAACGTGCTGTCCCTTTTCAGGACCTACGCCCGAGCAGTGCTCCCTCTAAGCTGTGGAGTCTTGTGAGCAAAAATCCTACTTTGTGAGCGACCGGCATTAAAGTTGTGAGCCAGCCATTTGGCTGCTGACATCAATGTTCCCTCTAAGCTGTGGAGTCCTGTGAGCAAAGATTTTACTTTGTGAGCTACTGGCATTAAAGTTGTGAGTGAGGATTTGGCTACTGCATACATTAGTTTGCTCTGGAGCCCTCCTTCCTGAGCTAAGACAGAAATGTGTGAGCCGGAGGCAAAAAAACTGTGAGCTAGCTCACACTAACTCAGCTTAGAGGGAACACTGGCTGCTGTATCAATTAGTTTGCTCCAGAGCCGTCCTTCCCGAGCTGAGACAGAAATGTGTGATCGGGAGGCTAAAAAACTGTGAGCCAGCTCACTCTAAGTCCAGTCCGGTGCTCCTGTCCAATGTTCCCTCTAAGCTGTGGAGTCTTGTGAGCAAAAAATCCTACTTTGTGAGCGACCGGCATTAAAGTTGTGAGCCAGCGATTTGCCTGCTGCATGAATCAGTTTGCTCTGGAGCCATCCTTCCTGAGCAAAGGCAGAAAATGTGCGAGCCGGAGGTTAAGAAACTGTGAGCCAGCTTACACTAAGCTTAGAGGGAGCACTGCTCCAGTCCAATGCTCCCTCTAAGCTGCGGAGTCTTGTGAGCAAAAATTCTACTCTATGAGCTATGAGCTCCTAGCATTAAGTGTGTGAGCGAGCCATTTGGCCGCTGCAGAAATCAGTTTGCTCTGGACGCAATGCTCCCTCTAAGCGGTGAGCACAAATTCTACTTTGTGAGTTACTGTCATTAAAGTTGTGAGCGAGCGATTTGGCTCCTACATAAATTAGTTTGCTCTGGAGCCATCCCTCCTGAGCGGAGACAAAAATGTGTGAGCCGTAGGCTAAAAACCTCTGAGCTAGCTCACACTTACTCAGCTAGGAGGGAACATCTGGAGCCATTCTTCCCGAGCGGAGACAGAAAATGTGCGAGCCGGAGGCGAAAAAACTGTGAGCCACACTAACTCAGCTTGGAGGGAACACTGCTCACAAAGTAACGCCGTGTTGCTTTCCCCCTCCTCCCCTGCTCAAAATGTTAGGAGTCTGGCGTCCGTGAACACGGAACCAAGTTTATTAACTCTAACTTTTATTGTTTATAAATGCTTACATGTATAGTGTTGCTGGACGCCAGTCTGTGTTCCGCTAATTTTCTGGACATTCCAAAAAGGCGAACGCAGAGATGGTTGGTGGAGCCCCTGCTGCTGACTCACCCTACCCCGTGAGAGGCACACCAGCCGCTTTGGGGTCCCCACCAATGCTCCCTCTAAGCCGTGGAGTCTTGTGGGCAAGAATTCTACTTTCTGAGCTACTGGCATTAAAGCTGTGAGCGAGCGATTTGGCGACTGCATAAATCAGTTTGCTCTGGATCCCTCCTTCCTGAGCTGAGACAAAGATGTGTGAGCTGGAGGCTAAAAAATGGTGAGTTAGCTCACACTAACTCAGCTTAGAGGGAGCACTGGACTCCCCACCCGCAGCTGGAGAACCACCAGTCTAGACGGACAAGACGGCCGGTCGGTAGCTGCTACTGTCTCGCTCCCTGCTATGCTTCCGGGCTCGCTGGCCGTTGCGCCCCTGCCCCTCTTTCCGGGAAACCCCGTGGGCCAGCTTTGGGGTATGTCCCTCGCGGAGTCAGGCGAACTGGAATACCAGGGTTTGATGGCCAAGGAAACCGCCAGTCCTCCCCCCACCCCACCCGCCCACCTCTAGCCTGCTGCATGCCTTAGACTGGACTGGGTGACCGACGGACTTTTGGGTCCTCTGTCGCCATGACCTGGCCCTGACCGAGCTCCTGCCCGTCTTTGCAGCCGGATCCAGACCTCCATCACCAGCTCCAGCCTGGGCTCTGCGGACGAGAACTCGATGGCCCAGGCAGACGACAGCCTGAAAAACCTCCATCTGGAGCTCACAGAGACCTGCCTCGATATGATGGCCCGATACGTCTTCTCGAACTTCACGGCTGTGCCCAAAAGGTTAGCTCCCCCCACCCCATTTTCTTTCCAGTTTGGTGTCGTGGTTAAGAGCGTGGACTCTAATCTGGGAGAACTGGGTTTGATTCCCCACTCCTCCACATACAGCCAGCTGGGTGACCTTGGGTCAGTCACAAGTTCTCTCAGAGTTGTTCTCTCTCAGGAGCAGTCCTCACAAGAGCTCTCTCAGCCCCACCCACCTCACAGGGTGTCTGTTGTGGGGACGGAAAGGGAAAGGAGATTGTAAGCCGCTCTGAGACTCCTTCAGGTATAAATCCCCTCTTCTTTTCTTCTTTCCTTTCTGTTGGACAAAAATCTCCTTCCAGCTTAAAGTCACCCTAACATTTTTTTAAAATTCTGATTTTAAACATTAAATTTTTTTTTGATCCTGAGTCCCCAACTCGGTTCGCAAAGCTTGGCCTCTTTCCTCCCTCCTGAGATACCCCTTCAGTTGGATCCATACCATTAGCAACGGTGCCTTCCTCTGGTGTGAGTTCCCTTTTGCGTCTCCTTGTGCCGGAGGAAGGCATGGTTATTAGCAGAATGCCTGTGTAGGATCCAGCCCCCTTTTTACTCAAGTGTAAGAGCTCCCGTTTCTAGTTCCAGCTCCTGCCAACCTAGCAGTTCGAAAGCAAGAAATTGCAAGTAGATAAATAGGTACCACTTCAGTGGGAAGGTAACAGCATTCCATGTGCCTTGGTGTTTAGTCATGCCGACCACATGACCATGGAAACGTCTTCGGACAGCACTGGCTCTTCGGCTTTGAAACGGAGATGAGCACTGCAACCCTAGAGTCGGACTCGACTGGCTTTCGAGCAAGGGAACCTTTACCTTTACTAAGAGCTGTCTGGGTTGGATCAAGGCAAGATCTACCTGCTCCAGCCCGGTGAAAGCAATTGAGGCTGCTAAAAAAGGAGTGAGACGTGAGAGAAATCTATGTGGCTATGATCTCTGAGGAAGAAGAGAGAAGAGACTGGATTTATACCCCGCGCTTCACTCGGAGTCCCCTTTCCACAACAGACACCCTGTGGGGTAGGTGGGGCTGAGATAGCTCTTTTGAGAAGTGCCCTTGAGAGAGCAGCTCTGAGAGAACTTGTGACTGACCCAAGGTCACGCCAGCGGCTGCATGTGGAGGAGTGGGGAATCAAACCCGGTTCTCCCTGGTTAGAGTCCACACTCTTAACCACTACACCAAATTAGAAAGAGACTCACAACTTCAGGGTCAGCAATTGCATTGACTGTAAAAAAAAAAAGAAAAAAGAACTGGCGATAGAAATACTTTGTACAATGTGAAATCCAGTTCCGGGGTCCTCCACCCCAAGATGCATTGACTGCTAGCTTAGGGGCTGTGAAAGAGAGAAAAGTGGAAAGTCTGGGGACGTGACAGTCATTAGCTGGGGTAGTTAAGTGGAACCTCTTTGCACAGAGGCAGTGCACCTGTGATGTTAGGGACAGACGGGGCGGGGGTTGGCTTCCTGCCTCTGTCTGTGGGCTTCCTGGCTGGCTTCACGGCTGTGCCCAAAAGGTTAGCTCCCCCCACTCTTTGGGCCGACCCTTCCTTCTGTCTGTGTTTTTAGGTCTCCAGTGGGGGAGTTCCTGCTGGCCGGAGGGAGGACCAAGACGTGGCTGGTGGGTAACAAGCTCGTGACGATCACCACGAGCGTCGGGACGGGGACCAGGTCGCTCCTGGGCCTGGACTCTGGGGAGCTGCAGAGCAGCACGGAGTCACGGTAAGCCCGGGCCTCCCCCCCCTTCCTTTTATGCTTTTGATAATACAAGTTCACAGAGCTGGGAGATCAAAGGATAATGCCTCACTGTAAAGCACAGTTTGATTGGCAGTGCACCCCCCCACTTCTCTCTGATGGGTCAGCGCCTGCTGAGGAGAGCTGTAAGAGCAGCTGAGAAAAAGGGTGTTTTTCATCTTGCTTCGTCTCTGTTGTGTCAGAAGCCAGACAAGCAGAGTTAGCGTGTCTGTCTGAGGGAAACGGACAAGTTCGCTTGTGATGTGAAGGGACCCAGCTCCTTGCCCTTACTCTGTACCATCAAATCTGAGGAAAAATTCCAAATAAGTACTTTAGTCTAAGTATCAGCCAAGCTGAAAACCATTGAGGAATTTCAGACAGACGATGTAATCCGGAAGAGGAACGGTTCCCAAACGGTTTCTGGTCTGTCATTTCAGACAGAACCGTTTTAGAACTGGTTCCCTACCGGAATATATTTGTAATTTCACACATAAACGCTTCTGTCCCGTTTAGGAAATGGGGCTGAAGCGTTTTACCTGTCAACCGCTTCCAAGTAGTCGTCAGTTTCCTCTCCCAGTTCCAATTAGCTTTTTCCCGCCGTTTTTCGCTCACGTGGGCGATCTCCGGCTTTTTTTTTGGGGGGGGGACGTTAGTTTTATAGCGCTATAACACTATAACGCAACAGCATTATATCAACCCCATTGGAATGCCTGGAGTGTTTTGTTATAGTTGCTATAGCGCTCTAAAGCGAATGTTCAAAACAAAAAGCCAGAGATCGCCCACACGGGCGAAAAACGGTAGAGGAAAAGTGGGAAAAAGTGGTGCAGTCCGAATGTGATGAGGGTAATCTGAAATTCCTCATATATTTCACTGTGTCGGTTCAGTTCTTTATTGTTACGGTCATTTGACCAAACATATAATCAGTTTTACAGTTTACACAATAAACAACATTTATAGGATAAAACATGATCTAATGGAACTTAAGTAGGTAAGACACAGGGAGGGGGGAAAAAATCTGACCCAAAAACTAGAATCAAGAACCGAAAGGGTGAGAAGAAAGTCTAACGAAGGGCCAATATTAAAAACCTAGTTAAAACTTATAATATAAAAAATACAAGTATTTGTTAGAAAGACAGTAAAAAAACATACATAAGGGCCCAATGAAAGCCTTGTAAAAAAGTATAGCCTAAACACAAGGCCAATACACATGACCTGACGCGTTTCTGCCCTATTGGGGCCTTCTTCAGAAGTCAAACAATATTGAGGTACACATAACTTAAATACATATTTCAATAAGATCACCCATAAGTGAATATTGGACCAGGAAGAGGAAGGTTAAGCAGCAAGATCTAGAGACACATGACAGAGAGGTTTGTGAGGCCTCAAAAGGTGAAAGTCATGTGTCTGGTGCCAAATGCACAGTTGCTGAATTAGAACATCTTCCAAATTAGGTCCAAAAACACATATGTGGCTATCAAAGTCAGAGCAAATAGCTTAACTTAAACCTGGCTACGATACAGTTTCTGTAGCCTAAGTATCAACGCACAGAATTTGGCTACTTGGCATGTAATCCTAGGGTTCTCATCACGTAAAAGATAATCAAGCTTAGCTCTTCCAGTAAAACCAAGAATCTTATCCAGTAATGGAGTATTCATTGGGTCAAGAAGTGAGGGTCAGTTTTGGCAGGAGGGATTGGTCAGTAGGCTGAGGCTGCCAGTTCTAGCCAAACAGAAAACAGAATATTGCTTAGGAAAAGGAGAATATTTCCTTCTCAGCTATACAGTGGGTTCAATTCTGAAGGAACGCCTGGATTGGGTGAAAAAAGGAAACGGTGTTAGACTAAAGTCAAAGGGAAACTGTAATCCCACAGGGAGGGAGAATAAGTCCAGGAAGAAACTAAGACAGTTATATGAATCTTTATTAAGATGCATTGTCGCTGTTAAGAAATCTCCAAGACAAACAAACCTCTTGTTGTTAAAAATGGGGTCTCTAAGAAACCAAGCTCCGACAATACTTTGTTGAATATCATAATGTGTAAATGCAACAATATTTACCTCCGTAAAATATCATCATGTGTAAACGCATATAATGTGTAAATGCAACAAAATTTACCTCAGTTTTCTCACCCCCTGCCTACTCCTAACCAATGGTCCCTCTAAGCTGTGGAGTCTTGTGAGCAAAAATTCTACTTTGTGAGCTCCTGGCATTAAAGTTGTGAGCAAGGAATTGGCTGCTGCATAAATTAGTTTGCTCTGGAGCGCTCCTTCCTGAGCGAAGACAAAAATGTGTGAGCCGGAGGCTAAAAAACTGCGAGCTGGCTCACACTAACTCAACTTGGAGGGAACACTGCTCCTATCCCAACCGTGGCTGTTTACCGTGTTTCCCCCGAAAATAAGACACTGTCTTATATTTATTTTTTCTCAAGAAGACACACTAGGGCTTATACCACAAATGCATAGAAATCCTGCTAGGGCTTATTTTTGGGGTATAGGTCTTATTTTCGGGGACACAGGGTAATAAGGTCATCATTCCTGTTTGAATTTTACTTCGAGTCAAGTGCCATTTACAAAGGAAATAACAAGTGGGCTCCTGCTTATCTGTAATAAATCTCTGGTCTGGGCAACGGCTAAATATCTTCTCTACCACAGGGTGGGACACTCAGAAAGTCATAAACCGTTTATTACCACAGGCTACCGAGGGGCTGCTCAGACAGAGTGGGGAATGGCTATTTAGCGTTTTGGCGGGAAAATCTGCCTCACAGGTAAAGAAGCAGTAGGGGGTCTGTCGTACTTGGTATTCAAGATTTGATGAGTGTTACTAGGAGTTATGACCAATGTTCCCTCTAAGCTGTGGAGTCTTGTGAGCAAAAATTCTCCTTTGCGAGCTACTGGCATTAAAGTTGTGAGCCAGCGATTTGGCTACTGCATACATTAGTTTGCTCTGGAGCCATCCTTCCTGAGCTAAGGCAAAAATGTGTGAGCTGGAGGCTAAAAAACTGTGAGCTACCTCACACTAACTCAGCTTAGCGGGAACACTGGTTATGACTCGAGTGTTTTGCCAAATGGATTAATATTATATAGGTATTTCAACACTGTGATACACGAAACGAGATATAATATGCATGGTTCGTTATGTGCCGATGGCGTTTGAATTGCTTCAAGTAAACTGAATATTGGAAAAAGAATGTTCAAGTCTGCGAAGACTTTTTTTTTGGCACAATTAATAACCAGAGAAGGGCAGATGGGCCCATTAACCCCGCTGTTCTGAGTCTCTGATACGTGTGCTTTGGTTCCCAGCCCGGACCCCGTCTCACAAGTGAGGCAGACGAAAGAAGCCCCGGCCAAACTGGAGTCCCAGGCTTGCCCCCAAGTGGTTCGAGGACCGCGCAACAGGGTCAGGTCGATGTCCGGTAAGGAGCCGCCCCCAGAGCTGACCTTCAGGGCCACAAAATATGCCAGATTTCTATTTTAGGGGCTTGGCTGCAGCGCTGCCGTCACTGGAACCGAGTTCCAGGTTCTGGAACCTTCCACCGAGCTAGGAATCTTGATGTCTCTCTGAGTGCCAGGGTGGCACCAGTGAGGAAGTCATGGGCCCCTCAGTCTTGACCTGTTGTTCATCTGTTGGCAGCAGTCAGAGGGGCAACGGCAGCAAGCCTTCTGTCCCCTCACCTATTAGTTGGTGGTGACGAATATCAGTTGGGGTTTGTGTAAATATCACCCATTTATATTCCCGTCTATTTATATTAATGTATATTTCAATTTGTGTTATTTTTTTTACTAACATCAATTTAAACTTTGTGGGTTTTTTTCAATGTAGTGTTTTATCTATGCTGGTCTTTGACCGGACGATTAAAAATGTGATTTGATCTGGTGACGAATATACTCCATGGGCTTCCCCGCACGCCTATTAATTTTTGGGCTTGCACAAGTTTGTTAGCCTCTGGCGGGTGATGCTCTGTCAATCCTGAAATCAGGGTGGGGGATTGGGGCAAAATTATGCAGAATTATGCAGTCTCCCTTCCCCTGATTTTCACCCCTCCACCTTCCAGTATTTCACAGGTATCATAGAGTGGAAACCCCTGAACTGCCTAGAACAGGGATCCCCATTTTTTTGAGCCTTTGAATTCTGACAAAGGGTGGTGGGTGCAACCTCAAATTGGCTGCTGCAGGAGGTGGGGCCAACCACAATATGGCCGCCACAGGAGACGGAGTCATACACAATATGGCCACCACAGGAGGTGGAGTCATACACAATATGGCCACCACAGGAGATGGAGTCATACACAATATGGCCGCCACAGGAGATGGAGTCATACACAATATGGCCACCACAGGAGACGGAGTCATACACAATATGGCCACCACGAGACGGAGTCATACACAATATGGCCGCCACAGGAGATGGAGTCATACACAATATGGCCACCACAGGAGACGGAGTCATACACAATATGGCCACCACGAGACAGAGTCATACACAATATGGCCGCCACAGGAGACGGAGTCATACACAAAATGGCCACCACAGGAGGTGGAGTCATACACAAAATGGCCACATACAGGAGGAGCCAAACACACTAAGGAAGCCCTAGTGCAGGGGATAAAAGGGGTAGTTTTAAAAAATACGCTGGGAGAGAGGAGCGAGAGAAAATAAAACCAACACTGTGGTGGCATTTCCAACTCAAACAACCTTATTATTCTCTGCACAGCTAAACCACTTGGCGTCACCCACTTCCGAAAAACATGTGGTGTGTGCCAGGAAAGGAGTTGGTGAGCGTCATGGCTCCCACGGGCGCCACGTTGGGGACCTCGGCCTAGAACATCTCTTGGGGATGCTTCTTAGAGACTGCAAATTACACGGGGGCTCCCTTTTCTTTCTCGCTCAGAACCACTCCGCTGCTTGCTCTGGGAACTTGCCTCTCTTGCTTAATACAGATGTTCTCTCGCCGCACAGGTGGCCACGCTTTGCGGGTCGGTGCGCTCGACGGCTCCGCCCCCCATTTCCCCGCCAGCTTGATGCCCCAAGGGGTGCAGAGTTCTCCTGCCACTCGGACAGAAAAGGCCGTTCCCGGCACTCAGGCACCTCTGCAGAAGGAGAAGGCCAACCTGGCTGCGTACGTCCCTCTGCTGACCCAGGGCTGGGCGGAAGTCCTGGTCCGGAGGCCAACAGGTAGGGTGCAGAAACGCCCAGAAATGTTTCTGGAGGAGCATCAGTTTGGGGGGTGTTTTATCAGCCGTTCCGTGACTCTTGATTCACTGCCCTGGTCGTAACGCTGCCATGTAGTGGGCTGAACCCTTCCACACACACATGGCAGCCCTCATCCCATGTGGCTTTTGTCCGTGGGGGTCCCATGATTCCCAGGGGAGCCTTTTTGGTGGTCTTCCACGGTCCCGGTGGTTTCTTTCATCCTTGATAAGCCTCTTTATATAACGGAAGAGGATGTAATTATGGCCATAGGCATAGACAGCTTTAAAAGGGGATTAGACAGATTCATGGAGGAGAGGTCTAATCAGTGGCTACCACCCATGGTGGCTAAAGGGAACCTCCACATTCAGAGACCTCTGAACCCCAGAGCCAGGAGGCAAGATCAGGGGAAGGCCTCGGCCTCTATGCCCTGTTGTTGGCCTTCCAAAGGAACTGGCTGACCACTATGTGAGACTGGGTGCTGGACTAGATGGACCCTCCTTGGTCTGATCCAGCAGGGCTCTTCTGATGCTCTTATCAGGGAAAGGCTTCGGCCTCTCTGCCCTGGTGTTGGCCCTCCAGGGGGACTGCTTGGCCCCTGTGTGAGATGGGATGCTGGACTGGATGGACCCTCCCTGGTCTGATCCAGCAGGGCTCTTCTGGTGTTCTTATCAGGGGAAGGCCTCGGCCTCTCTGCCCTGTTTTTGGCCCTCCGGAGGAACTGGTTGGCTGCTGTGTGAGGCAGGATGGTGGACTAGATGGACCACGGGTCTAATCCAGCTGGGCTCTTCTGTTGTTCTTATGAAGGCCTCGGCCTCTAAGCCCTGTTGGCCTTTCAGAGGAACTGGTTTGCCCACTTGTGTGAGACAGGATGCTGGACTAGATGGGCCCTTCTTAGTTCTTATAAGAAAATTCCACATTCATTGATTGTAAACCTCTGAATCCCAGAGCCAGGAGGCAACGTCAGGAGAAGGCCTCGGCCTCTCTGCCCTGCTGTTGGCCCTCCAGAGGAACTGGTCGACCCCTGTGTGAGGCAGGATGCTGGACTAGATGGACCCTCCCTGGTCTGATCCAGCAGGGCTCTTCTGGTGTTCTTGTGTTCATTGGCCACTGGGGAAGTCCGCTGTTTGCAGAATTTGTGCAGTTATAGCACCTGCTGCCCTGCTATCCACTCAGTGTCTGCTCAGGGGCTGTTGTTCATCAGCCGTCCTCTGTTTCCTTCAAGGCTTCGTGGGGCTGCTCTGATGGGAGATGAAGGCCTCTTGCTGCCTACTCCCAGTCCCCCCGTGTGGTGCATGCAGCCCCAGAGGGGCATTGGGGGGATTTCTGGGCCATGCTTTAAATGCACGCATGGGAGGGCCTCAAGACTGCCATAAAATGGCTGCTGCAGGAGGTGGAGCCATACGCAAAATGGCTGCCACAGCGTAATCCTCAGCCATGCAGCAGAGATCCTTGTGCTGTGGTGGCGGCTGTCGCCAAAGCAACATCCTTAAAAACTTGCACAGCCTATCGAGACTCCCGGGGCCAATCAGAAGCGTTGCTGGGCAGAAACCCCACCCGGCTCTGCCCACTTTTCTAAAATCACTGGTTGGGTGCCAGGAAAGGTATTGGCAGAGGCCACAATAGTCCCTCTAAGCTGTGGAGTCTTGTGAGCAAAAGGTCTACTTTGTGAGCTGCTGGCATTAAGGTTGCGAGCGAGCGATTTGGCTGCTGCATAAATTAGTTTGCTCCGGAGCCCTCCTGCCGGAGCCGAGACAAAAATGTGTGAGCTGGAGGCTAAAAAAACTGTGAGCTAGCTCACACTAACTCAGCTTAGAGGGAACACATGCACCACGGCGCCCACGTGCACCACCTTCATTTAGCCCAAGAGCTCTAAAGAGCTTGAAAGCAGGCACCATGTTTCGTGTCACTTCGGTCGGCCCTTATAACAGCTGTCTCGCGCGCGTTTTGTTCCTTGCCGAAACTGACCCGTGGTGTTCTGCGGTGGTTTCTTTCCTCGCCAGGCAACACCAGCTGGCTGATGAGCCTGGAGAACCCGCTCAGCCCCTTCTCTTCTGACATCGACAACATGCCCCTGCAGGAGCTCTCCAACGCCCTGATGGCGGCCGAGCGTTTCAAGGAGCACCGCGAGACTGCCCTCTACAAGTCCCTCTCGGTCCCCTCCTCCAGCCTGCCCACCGGGACCACCAAGCCCTCCCTCCTGCAGCGCTCCAACACAGGTGAGCCCGACCCGCCAGCCGGCACGGAAGTAGGGACGCACGGCAAAGCCGTGGGTGGTCTCTCCAAGCAAAAACTGGGGCCCCGCGGTGGGGGAGGATCCCTCCTGGAGGGTTGCTGCGTCAGGGACAGAACGGACAGCTGCGCAACATGGAGGGAAGAAGCGGCTTGAGATGGGAAATGCTCTCCTAGAAAAGAGCAAGACCCTCGCCAGGCAACACCAGCTGGCTGATGAGCCTGGAGAACCCGCTCAGCCCCTTCTCTTCTGACATCGACAACATGCCCCTGCAGGAGCTCTCCAACGCCCTGATGGCGGCCGAGCGTTTCAAGGAGCACCGCGAGACTGCCCTCTACAAGTCCCTCTCGGTCCCCTCCTCCAGCCTGCCCACCGGGACCACCAAGCCCTCCCTCCTGCAGCGCTCCAACACAGGTGAGCCCGACCCGCCAGCCGGCACGGAAGTAGGGGCGCACGGCAAAGCCGCGGGTGGTCTTTCCAAGCAAAAACTGGGGCCCCACAGCGGGGGAGGATCCCTCCTGGAGGGTTGCTGCGTCAGGTACAGAACGGACAGCTGCGCAACGTGGAGGGAAGAAGCGGCTTGCGACGGGAAATGCTCTCCTAGGAAAGATCAAGATGGGCAGCCATGTTAGTCTGTTTGTAGGGGAAGAAAAGAGCCAGAGTCCAGGAGCACCTGAAAGACTAACAAAATTTGTGGCAAGGGTAGAAGCTTTCGTGAGCCATGGCTCACTTCTTCAGTAAGCTCCTCCCCTGCCACAAATGTTGTTAGTGTTGGAAAATTTGGTAGAAGTGGTTAGATATTCAGATCTTGCAATGGATCTTTGTTCACTGGAGAGGAGGCATATTCACTCTACGTAAAAATCTTCATTCCTAAAAGGAAAGGTACCCGGGAAATCTACAAAACAACAAACCCTTAAGGCGACATCCTTACTGTCACAAGTACAACAGTCTGACTGACCACACGGTTGGTAATGGAGATTCTTCTTTCTTCTTGACCCTAGAAGGAAATCACCTAAATACATTAACCAATGGTGGTTAGTACATAGGCTTTGGTTTCCCGGGCTTTCTCCCCATTGGCTTTGTGCCAGGTTACCTTCCAGGCCAGTCTAAACAACAGCACACAGGGTAAACACATTAACCCTACAATGACTGAATTTAAACCTTGCAACACACATATTCCCAACAGCTAGGGCTTAAGTTGCTCCTGGACTCTTTCTGTTTTCTACTGCTACAGACACACGAACACGGCTGCCCCGTCTCGATCTATCTGAAGGCGTGAGCAGCGACTCACGAAAGCTCTTACCCTTGCCACAAGTTTTGTTGGTCTTTAAGGTGCTCCTAGGAGCTGCGGTGGCTCAAGTGGTTAAGATGCTGAACTGCAGGCTGTGGAAGGTCAGTAGTTCAGCAGTTCAAGACCCGGGTGCCGCATGACGGAGTGAGCTCCCGTCTCTAGTTCCAGCTCCTGCCAACCTAGCCGTTCGAAAGCAAGAAATTGCAAGTAGATAAATAGGTACCACTTCGGTGGGAAGGTAACAGCGTTCTGTGCACCTTGGTGTTTAGTCATGCCGGCCACATGACCACGGAAATGTCTTCAGACAGTGCTGGCTCTTCGGCTTTGAAACGGAGATGAGCACCGCAACCCTAGAGTTGGACTCAACTGGCTTTCGAGCAAGGGAACCTTTACCTTTAAGGTGCTCTTGGACTCTTGCTCTTTTCCCATGTCCAGGGTATTCCGCACTTCTTTAAACAATTGCCTCTGGAATAAATGTTTCTGGTGCATTATGTATTTGGTGCATTATGCAGCCTCTGCAGCCAGTGGGATTGGCCGGGAGCTGCGCAGGAGCCCTGGAGCCCCCAGGACTGTGCTATTTAAACACCAAAGCCATTGCAACGAGCCTGTGCCAGTGAAGCTGCTGTGGCTGGCGTTCTGGCAAGTTTTACTTCTGTGCCCAGTGGCCAGAGGCTCTGGAGCTCCGACTGCCCCCTACCCGTTGGATATCTTCTTCCTCCCCTACTACGGCTTCTGAGACTGCACCAGGCGCTGCCTCTGTGCTTCAGAGCACACCTTTGTGAGCGCAAGAGCCAGGAGCTTGCCTCGGGGTGTGTGTGTGTGAAAGCACCACAAACAAAACACGGTGTTCTTAGCACTGCAGGCTTTCCCCCCCTCCCGCCAAGTCCCGGCATCCGCTTGCAGCTCAGCGGGACTGTCTGCCTTCCACTCCACCCTGGGAGGCTGGCTCCGTTCGCTTCTGCCCACAGGGACGTCCCCAAATCGCCACCACTTTTCAGGCTTGTCCTCAAGAAGGCATGTTGTTGTTGTTTTTTTAAACTGAACACTGAAATTCTCAGCCCAAAATTCTGCCCCTTCTCAAGTTTGGATTTTACAGCGCCCGGCGGCAGCCGTTTCTGTGATGCGGAAATGCAAGTGAAGAGGCTTTTCCCGCTTCTTAGACATAGGAAATTAACAGGCCCCCAGCTGGAGTCCTGTCTTTACTGGCATAGCACGACAGGGTTGAACCTGTGACCTCCTGCAGTGAACTGTACTTGTCTGAGCCTAGGGGTGCCTGTGGAGGTGGGGTGGAATGAATCCTGTGCCCACGCTATGCCCTTTCCTGACCCAGATCTCCCCGCATAGCATGAGGGAGCTGCAGACGGAGAGCCAGTTTGGTGTAGTGGTTAGGAGCGCGGACTCTAATCTGGGAGAACCGGGTTTGATTCCCCACTCCTCCTCCACTTGCAGCCAGCTGGTGTGACCCTGGGTCAGTCGCAAGTTCTCTCAGAGCTGTTCTCTCATGAGCAGTCCTCGGAAGAACTCTCTCACGCCTCCCTCCCAGGGTGTCTGTTGTGGGGAGGGGAAGGGGAAGGAGATTGTGAGCCGCTCTATGACTCCTTTGGGTAGTGAAGGGCAGGGGATAGATCCAGTCTCTTCTCTCTTCTTCCTGACCCTCCCGTTTCCCAGTCCAGGTTTTCAAGTGTTCATGCCCAGCCTGAAATGGCTTTTCCCCTTATGCCCAGACCTCAGTCTGTGCTGTTGGGTATTTCCTGTGTTGCGTTTAGTTCGGACATGCAGAGTTAGATTTACCTGCCGTCTCTGGTGCCCCAAATTTTGCCCCTGCCCAGTGCTCCTTTTTATGCCCCCCCCCCCGGTGCACCTTTCCCCCCGTGTATTTCTTGAATCCGACTCCTCCTGCTTATACCTCTCTCTCTCTCTCTCTTTTGCATTTTAAAAATATTATTTTGTCCCTCTGGTTTTTCTCTCTCTCTCTCTGTCGTTCTCTCCCCTTCCTTCTTTAATGTGCCGCCTCCCTTGGTTTTTCCCTTCACAGTGGCCTCTTTCTCCTCCATGTACCTGACCAGTTCTCAAGAGAGGCTGCACAGGAGCATATCCTGGGCAGGTATACTCACCTATCTTTACAGGAGTTTCAAGGAAAAGGGGGAGGGTGGGGGAGAAAGATACTCAGCTCCGGCTTGTGAAAACCGCCCCCGTCTTCCCCCTCCGTGTTTTCCTGCCTGACCGTGGTTCTCGTGGCTCTCAGCAGGTGGGATTCCAAGTAGCATGAGCGAGTCCAAGCCAGATGTGGTCTCCTTTGCCCCACTGTAGCTTCGTTTCACAAAGGGGAGGGGGGGTCTTCATAGGGTGAATTCTGGCCCGGGTATTAGATCCGCTTCACAGCCCTTGGGCAGGTTCAGAGAACGAAAACTTTGCAATCCTTCTCTCGGCCTGCCGTTTCCTGAGCCTTTCAAACCGGGTTTTTTCCTCCACCACAAACACAAGGTCTAGAACAGGGGTGTCAAACATGCGGCCCGGGGGCCAGATGAGGCCCCCCGGAGGGCTTCCATCAGGCCCGCAGTGGAATTGGCCATCTCCTGCTTCCAGTTCTGCTGCTGTTGCATCATAGCTTGATTCGCCAGACTCTCTTAATCACTCAGCCATTTCGTGTTTTAACCTGGGTCCCAGACTCAGAACTCTGAGCATGAGATTTCTGTGGCGAATGTGAATAAATCAAAAGTAGGTTTGCAGCTTACAGGTACACACTTGAAAAAGCATACTCAGGATTGCAACAGCACAGACATTTTGATGCAATAATTCAGAGCAAGAGGTGTCAGTTATCAGATACTGCTAAATAAACAAAATATTGCAAGAGTGCTAATGTTTTTAAACATGATTTTATTTTAAGTAAAGAAAACCCTTTGTGTTTGTGTCCTTTATAAAGTTTATATCGCCGCTACCTGGCATTACCTTTTATGACACACATGGCCCGGCCCAACAAGGTCTCATTTATGTCAGATCCGGCCATCAGAACAAATGAGTTCGACACCCCTGCTGTAAAATCTTAACTCTTCTTTTGTTTGCTAGTTTGTTTTATCCAAATCAAAACAGAGGTGCTCAGAAAAGGGTCTTTTGCCATCTTACGGGCAAATCTGGAATCCACATCTTTATATAGTGGACCAAAAATGAAAAACAGACGTTGAAGCTACAGCTCTGTGGACTTGATTTTTGAAATGCTTTAATATATATATTAAACTCCAGCATGAAATTATTGCCGGGTCATTTCAGTCACCGTGTTGGGAAGGAGCTTGTGAAAGGTCAAGCGGTGAAGGCCTAGAATGACTGAGTTAGTCGCCCTGTTATTCCATTTGCCCACCTAGAGGTCCTTCACTAAAACTGGCAGCGATTCTTGACCCGGGGGGGGGCAGGGGGGTGTTCTCAGAGGAGCTGGCAGGAGACTTCTGGCTTGGACGCTTGAGGAGACTTGCCCGTGGTGTGCAGTGCTAACCCTGGATCGCTGCTTTGGCATAAGTCTTTTCTTTCTGATATTGCAAGCTGAGGTTGATTCCCCACTAAAGCTGCTTCAGTGATATTTTGCTCATTGGCTGATTGGTTTTGTTCGTTTGGCGTGCAAGAAATTTTTTTTAAAAACCCAACCTTTGCTCTCGCGGTTCTGGTTTGTGCACCATGGGAGGGAGGGGGTCTCCTGCTGTACCTTCAGCCTTTCCCCCCTGCACAAAAATCTCCCTCCCCCCTCCCTGAATGCTTCTTGTCTCTCCCGCTTCCATCTGCCCAGGCATATCAGAAGCTGCTTGTATGCACTGTCTGCACGGTCTCCAATTTTGCTGTGTTAAATGCAGGGTCCTCTGCGCCCACTCCAGCAGGCACTCCTCAGATAAAGAACCAGCAGAATGTCACGTCTGAAACTCTGAGCTAATAATAATGGACAATTACACTACGGCAGTGTTTGTAGTAAGCCAGGAGATCCAAGGATTGTCTGGCAGGCAGAAGTTCTAGCTCTTTGAGAGCCAGTTCGGTCTAGTGGTTAGGAGCGCGGACTCTAATCTGGGAGAAACAGGTTTGATTCCCCACTCCTCCTCCATATGCAACTGCTGGTGTGACCTTGGGTCAGTCACAAGTTCTCTCAGGGCTGTTCTCTCATGAGCAGTTCTCGGGAGAGCTCTCTCAGCCCCACCTACCTCATGGGGTGTCTGTTGGGAGGAGAGGAAGGGAAAGGAAAGGAGATTGTAAGCTGCTCTGAGACTCCTTTGGGTAGTGAAGTGCGGCGAAGAAATCCAGTCTCCTCCTCCTTCTCTTGGTGTTTGGTGTAGTGGTTAAGAGCGGCGGACTCTAATCTGGGAGAACCGGGTTTGAGTCCCCACTCCTCTTCCACATGCAGCTGCTGTCACAAGTTCTCTCGGAGCTGTTCTCTCAGGGGCAGTCCTTGAAAGAGCTCTCTCAGCCCCACCGACCTCCCAGGGTGTTTGTTGTGGGGAGGTGAAGGGAAAGGAGTTTGTAAGCCCCACTGAGACTCCGAGTGAAGGGCGGGGTATAAATCCAGTCTCCTCCTCCTCCTCTTCTTCTCTTTAGCATTTTGCACCGCTAGGTGGCGAGCTAGACTTGTTGGTGGTCTGATAGGGCTGTGAATGACCCAAAGTCACCCAGCTGGCTTCCTGTGGAGGAAGGAGTGGGGAATCAAACCCAGTTCTCCAGATTAGAGTCCTGCCTCTCTTAACCGCTGCACCAAAATCGCTCTCCGGTCTGAGCTATGAATCAGCAAGGCCCCCAATTCAGATCACGCCCTTGCCACTTTATTTTTTGACTTCATTTGGACCCCGGGTTTCTCCCTAGCAGGGAGGCAAAGCAGCCGACATCATTCTCCTTTGCTCCATTTTATACTCACCACAGTCCTGAGCAGGGCTTTTTTTGTAGAAAAAGCCCAGCAGGAACTCATTAGCATAATAGGCCACACCCAACAGCAGAAACCCATTAGCCTATTAGGCCACACCCCTGACCGCACAGCTCATTAGCATATTAGGCCACACCCCATATGTTACCAGAAGTGTGGTCATCCAGCCACACCCACCTTTTGCTTCTTATTCTGTTTACTTTCTTGTCAAAACCCAGGGCTTTTCTTGTAGCAGGAACTCCTTTGCATGTTAGGCCACACACCCCTAATGTAGCCAGTCCTAATGAGTGTCTGCTGTTGGGTGTGGCCTATTATGCAAATGAGTTCCTGCTGGGCGTAGCCAACTTGGGAGCCAGCCGGAACTCCGTTCCTGCCCCAGTCTGGCTCTCACTTTCTTGCGGTCCCTTCAGTAACTTCAGGGGTGGATCACACCACTGACCTACCTGGTTTGTTGGCAATCAGCTTGACCACGACATAAAGTACGCAAAGGGCTTCAGAGCGCTATGGGACTGCTATTACTTTTTTAAAAATGTTGCCTTTCTATTCTGCCGCTCTGCAGGGCGGCCCTCAACGTGTGAGGGTCCATCAGAAAGAAACTGTTGTTTAAAAGGGGGGGAAGAGAAATCCCCGGGGGGGTGGGGAGAGAACTTCTAAACCATCTCCTGGCAACACTGTCCTAAGCATGCGTACTTGGAAGCAATGCTCCCTGTAAGCTGTGGAGCCTTGTGAGCAAAAATTCTACTTTTTGAGCTCCTGGCATTAAAGTTCTGAGCAAGTGATTTGGCTGCTGCATAACTTAGTTTGCTCTGGAGCCATCCCTCCTGAGCTAAGACAAAAATCTGTGATCCGGAGGCTAAACAGCTGTGAGGGAACACTGCTTGGAAGTCAGTCCCTCTGGGCCGAGTCAGGACCACATCTGGCCGAGTCAGGACCACATCACTCCTGACGCTTCTGCTGTTCTCCCAAGGGATGGCTGAGTTTGGCACTAATGTCACCCGCCTTCCCCCCTGTAGAGCTTGCAAAGGGGCATGTTTAGGGTCGCAGCTGTTTGGGGGAGGGGTCTTTCCCTTCGGATCTCAAAAATTCCCCTCCCCAAGTGTCAAAATGCCAAAAAAGACTCAGGGCTCTTTTTGTAGAAAAAGCCCAGCAGGAACTCATTAGCATAATAGGCCACACCCAGCAGCAGAAACGCATTAGCATATTAGGCCACACCCCTGACAGCACAGCTCGTTAGCACATTAGGCTGCACCCCCATGTTACCAGAAGTGTGGTTATCCAGCCACACCCACCTTTTGCTTGTTATTCTGTTTACCTTGTTTGTTGTCAAAACCCAGGGCTTTTTTTTTGGAGCAGGAACTTCTTTGCATGTTAGGCCACACACCCCTAATGTAGCCAATTCTAATGAGTTCCTGCTGTTGGGTGTGGCCTATTATGCTAATGAGTTCCTGCTGGGCGTGGCCAACTCGGGAGCCAGCCGGAACTCCGTTCCTGTGCGTTCCTGCCCAAAAATAGCCCTGCCAAAAAAGAAGGTATATTTTGTTCCCTTGTGAGTGGGACGGTCCCCATGCCTGCCCTGGAGTAGAAGGCGGGTACAACTGGACGCTTGCCCAGTGTTAAGCTGATTGCCAGTTTAACCCTTGAGCCCTGTTGCTTCTCTCTGGCCCAGAATGGTGCAAACGTATGTCAAACGGAAGGTGAGCGACCATACGAATCGATGACTCCCCAGACCATCGTATCACGAACAGCTTTGCTCGGATTCAGAGGCTGGCCCTGTTGATCTGCAGCTGAGCGGTTAGATTCGATTCCAGAAGCACCTTGGAGACCAGCAAGGTTTTCAGATATGAGTTTTTGGGAGTCAAAGGTAACGTAGCTGGCGAAGGGAGCGTCGATTCTCGAAAGCTGATCCCCTGAAACTCTTGTCGGCCTCTAAGGTGCTAAGGGGCTTCGGTCCCCGGCCCGAAGGACGTCTGTCCTGCCTCGACCAGGGCCAGGGCTTCGTCTGCCCTGGCCCCTGCCTGGTGGAACACGCTCCCTATCAAGATTAGGGCCCTGCAGGACCTTTTTCAGTTCCGCAGGACCTGCAAGACAGAGCTGTTCCACCAGGCCTTCAGCTGAGGTAGCAGGCGTCCATGCAGGGTTCATTTCCTGCAGGAGGGCACAGGAGCGGAGCTCCAGCAGTAAAGAGCCCAGGGGGCGGGCACATGCAACAAGCCCCCCACCCCCCCTGCTCCCAGCAGCCCTCAGTCAGAGCAAGAAGCAGCCAGGTAAGCTGCAGAAACCCCCCCCCCGTCCAAAACAGTCCAGTGGCACCTTTAAGACCAAGTTTTATTCAGGTACAAGCTCTCCCCTCCTCTGCGAGGACAGATCTGCACGTTCCCCCCCCCAGCTAGGAATCCAAAACAGTCCAGTGGAGCCTGAGTGTTGCCTTCTGACACACTTCCGGTGATGTCTGGGGGTGTGGCATATGTAAATGAGTTATGCCAATGATTTATGCTAATGAGCTCCTGCACCTCTTTTTCTATGAAATGACCCCTGCGTCCACGTATGGCCTCTCTGAGGTTGTCGTCCCCCATCCGCTGACCACTGGCCACTACCCACCTGTTACCAACAGGCCAGGGAATCCTCTAGCAGCCGGCTGGTTTTTGATTTTTGTTTTGAGCGGCAACCACCTGTTTTAATGTCTAGTATCGTGTTTTCAATTTTTAACTGTATTTATTGTATTGTTGAGATATGATGTCACCCACCCTGAGCCCGGCAGGCTATAGATATGAAAAATAAAATAATTTAAAAAATAACTGGGCCTCGAATCTAACCGTTCAGCTTTGCTCTCAGGCCTTGCAAACTGAAGGAGTTCTAGTGCTTACCAAGCTCGGATGAAACCTGGTTGCCTCGCTGCTTAAAGACTTTGAATCAAACTACACAGCGTCCATACCAAGATATCAGAGAGGACAAACCACACACCAAACATCCCCTGGTAGGCATAGTGTAAGAGATGCCTCTCTTAACCGCTAGATATGAAAAATAAAATAAAATAATTTTAAAAATAACTGGGCCTTGAATCTAACCGTTCAGCCTTGTTCTCAGGTCTTGCAAACTGAAGGCGTTCTAGTGCTGACCAAGCTCTGATGAAACCTGGTTGCCTCGCTGCTTAAAGACTTTGAATAGACTTAAGAGCCACCACTCTCTTTTCTGTTTCTCATATCTACACTCGTGTGTCTTTAAAAGACAAACTGTTGAATTTAGGAAGCATCTTGAGAATTTCTAGTGCTGACCAGGGCTTTTTTTTGTAGAAAAAGCCCAGCAGGAACTCATTAGCATAATAGGCCATACCCAACATTTTTTTTGCAGGAATTCATTAGCATATTAGGCCACACCCATGACAGCACAGCTCGTTAGCATATTAGACCACACCCCCGTTTTACCAGAAGTGTGGTCATCCAGCCACACCCACCTTTCCCTTCTTATTCTGTTTACCTTGTTTGTTGTCAAAACCCAGGGCTTTTTTTGGAGCAGGAACGCCTTTGCATGTTAGGCCACACACCCCTAATGTAGCCAATCCTAATGAGTTTCTGCTGTTGGGTGTGGCCTATTATGCTAATGAGTTCCTGCTGGGCATGGCCAACTCGGGAGCCAGCCGGAACTCCGTTCCTGTGCGTTCCTGCCCAAAAATAGCCCTGGCGCTGACTAAACTTTAATGTAACCTAGTTGCCTCGCTGCCGATAGACTGAAGAACTGCAGCTCTTTCTTTTTCACATATGCATGCTCATGGGTCTTTCAAAGACAAAACATTGCATTTAGGAACCATCTTAAGGATTTCTAGTGCTAGCTAAACTGTAATGAAACCTGGCTGCCTTGCTGCTTAAAAGCCTTTGAATAGACTTAAAGAATTGCGGCTCTCTTTCTGTTTCACATACGCACGATCGTGTGTCTTTAAAAGACAACATTTAGGGAGCCTCCTAATTGCTGCAGAGGCTAGCTGCCAGTTCAGTGTTTCAGGAAAACGTGCTTTCAGCATTTCTAGGAACGCGGTCTTCCTTTCTCGGCCTCCCTCTGCCTTGCTAATGGCACTTTGGTATCCCCCCCCCCCGATGAAACGTGAGGGTCTTTCTTTTTTTGCGAAAGAGGCAGAGAGGTTTAGGAGACGAGGTGTAACTTCTACGGTCTAATGGGAAGCCCCCTATCTCCCCCCAACCGAGATAAAGTCTTTGTGTGCTGCGATCGTCTTTGGGCCTCTCCAGACGATGCTCCTACCTGTGGGGAGTTCAGGAGCCAGTCCCCGTACTTGGTGAATGTCCTCTATGCTTTGCCCCTCACTGAGCGCAGTGGGGAGGAGACGAACAGGCTCAGAAACCCCTGCCGGTCTCCTCACATGTAGACTTCGGAGGGGGACCTCCTGAGAGTCTTCAGGACTGGCCCTCTTGTTCCTTTTCTGAAATGTATCAAACGCCAATAACTTTAAAGACTATTTCCCCTCCCGACGCTTCCATTCACTTGCATAAAACCTAAAAATATCGTGCTCCAGTTGACAAACGAGCTCACACTAGCTGACCGCTATTCTGTCGCCATTTCGGTCCTGCTTTGGATATCTCGGCACAAAGCGACCCCCAAAAGAAAAGCGTTCTTGACTCTGAGGGGAAACGAGGCCCATTCGCCCCCTGCTGAAATCCTGTGTCTGCGAAAGGCCGGGGTGTCGGAGGACAGGGAGCCCGACCCTCCCAGAAGACTCTCCTGCCCTCCTTCTCTGGGGTTCAGGCATTCCGCTTTGTGTCTTTTGGCAGAGTCGGCCGTCGTTCCGGAAGAAGGAAGCCCGCCCACGGCGGACCTGAAAGAAAGGGAGTCCCTGCCGGAGTCCCGGGAGATGGAGGACTTCAGAGCCGTGTGTCCGGATCACGTTGTGAGTGAGGAGAAGTTAGGCAAAGCCCCTGGGATGTACAGCAGGGTAAGGTCGCTCCCGGCTCGGGCCTTCTTGTCTGGGCCCACGCTAAAGTCAGTGGGAAGAATTACCTCATGGCGAGGGCGCCACGGCACCCACGGCCGCCTTTCTTGGCGGCCACCGAGTGTTCGTAGAAAGCGGGCAGGTCCGCGTTGGGGCAGGGCTTCCGATTGGCCACTGTTTTTTTTTCAAGAACGTAGCTTTGGCAGGAGCTGCCGCCACGGCACAAGAATCTTCACGGTGTGCCTGAAGGTAAGCTGCGGCGGCCATTTTGTGGCCTGCCCCGCCTCCTGCTGCAACCATTTTGTGTCATAATTCCAAAGGTGCCTGCAGGCTTTAAAAGGTTGGTGGCCCCTGCTGAAGACACTTGAGGTGGGGGGGGGAGTCAAGGTGCTTTGCTGGGAGGGGCCTTCTGGCCACCCCCACACATACCTTCGAGGTTGCCGGCTGCTTGAGAGCCAGTTTGGTTTAGTGGTTCGTATCTTGGACTCTAATCTTGGAGAACTGGGTTTGATTCCTCACTCCTCCACATGCAGCTGTTGGTGTGACCTTGGGTCAGCCACAAGCACTGTTCCCTCTAAGCTGAGTTAGAGTGCGCTAGCTCACAGTTTTTTAGCCGCCAGATTACACATTTTTGTCTCAGCTCAGGAAGGAGGGCTCCAGAGCAAACTAATTTATGCAGCAGCCAAATGGCTTTGCTCACCACTTTCATGCCCAGTAGCTCACAAAGTAGAATGTTGGCTCACAAGACTCCACAGCTTAGAGGGAGCTTTGGTCACAGACAGGGCTCTTTTTGTAGAAAAAGCCCAGCAGGAACTCATTAGCATTATGGGCCACACCCAACTGCAGAAACTCATTAGCATATTAGGCCCCACCCCTGACAGCACAGCTCATTAGCACATTAGGCCGCACCCCCATGTTACCAGAAGTGTGGTCATCCAGCCACACCCACCTTTTGCTTCTTATTCTGTTTACATTGTTGTCAAGACCCAGGGCCTTTTTTTGTAGCAGGAACTCCTTTGCATGTTAGGCCACACACCCCTAATGTAGCCAATCCCAATGAGTGTCTGCTGTTGGGTGTGGCCTATTATGCTAATGAGTTCCTGCTGGGAGTGGCCAACTCCGGAGCCAGCCGGAACTCCGTTCCTGCCCAAAAATAGCCCTGGTCACAGAGCTGTTCTTCACGGCCCGCAGTTCTCTCAGCGCTCTCTCAGCCCCACCTACCTCACAGGGTGTCTGTTGTAGGGGGAGGAAGGGGATTTTCAGCCGCTCTGAGACTCCTTTGGGTAGTGAAGGGCGGGGTATAAATCCCATTTCTTCTTCTTCTTCTACGCTGCTACCTGCAGTCCTCCTCGACGTCCAGCCAAGAGGAGAAAGCTCTGAAGCCAGAAGACCTGGCCTCCATCAGCATCCCCATAGAGAGGGCCCGGCACCTGGAGGACAGCCGGGCCTTCGAGGCCCTCTCCTTCCAGCCCTCCCAGCCGCTCAGCAAGTCCAGCTCCTCCCCAGAGCTCCAGACCCTCCAGGAAGTCCTCAAAGACGCCAGCGGTGAAGACGCGGCCGGGAAGCTGAGCAGCGACCTGAAATCCAAGTCCCAGTCGGGCCACCTGGAAGGGGAGGCAGCGGGCGGCTGGCTGGGAAGAGGGGAGGAGGACAGGGCCCCCGGAGGGCCCCGGCTGGCCGGCCCCGGCCCCGCCTCTTCCCCCCGCTCCCCGAGTGGCCACCGCCCCCGGGGGTACACCATCTCGGATTCCGCGCCCTCGAGGAGGGGCAAGAGGATCGAGAAGGACCCCTTCAAGGGCAGGGCAGCGGCCTCCAATGCGGAGAAAGTTCCAGGCATTAACCCCAGGTGAGTGGGGCGGCCGGGCGGGCATTGTCGGATCTGAGGGCTGTTGGGTCAAACCCCGTTGCCTCCAGGTTGCAAGTCTCGCCTGTTCGGGAAACCCCGCGGGCTGTGTTTTCGGAGGGTAGCCACGCGCATCAGATACAGGTAGGAACGGAGATCCCAGAGGTCTTGTATCCCAGTCCGGTTTGGTGTAGTGGTGACGAGCGCGGACTCCAATCTGGGAAAACCGGGCTTGATTCCCCACTCCTCCTCCACGTGCAGCTGCTGGTGTGACCTCGGGTTAGTCACAAGTTCTCTCAGAGCTGTTCTCTCATGGGCAGTCCTCGAAAGAGCTCTCTCAGCCCCGCCGACCTCACAGGGCGTCTGTTGTGGGGAGGGGAAGGGAAAGGAGACTGTAAGCCGCTCTGAGATTCCTTCGGGTAGTGAAGGGTGGGGTATAAATCCAATCTCTTCTTCTTATCTTCCAAAGGTGGGAGGAGTTTTGGAGAGAAGGGAGTCCGGATGTAAAGGTACAATGCTGCACATTGCAGTAGAAAAGAGCATGAGTCCAGCGGCACCTTAAAGGCTCACAAAGTGAGCGGTGAACTAACAAACTCTCCTCCCCTGCCAAAAATGTTGTTAGTCTTTAAGCTGCTGCTGGACTCTTCCTGTTTTCTGCTGCTAGGTAAAGGTAAAGGTTTCCTTTTCTCGAAAGCCAGTCGAGTCCGACTCTAGGGTTGCGGTGCTCGTCTCCGTTTCAAAGCCCAAGAGCCAGCGCTGTCTGAAGACATTTCCGTGGTCATGTGGCCGGCATGACTAAACACCAAGGCGCACGGGACGCTGTTACCTTCCCACCGAAGTGGTCCCTATTTATCTACTTGCAATTTCTTGCTTTCGAACTGCTAGGTTGGCATGGCTGGAGCTCACTCCGTCATGCGGCACACTCGGGTCTCGAACTGCTGAACTACCGACCTTCCACAGCCTGCAGTTCAGCGTCTTAACCACTTGAGCCACCGCAGCTACAGACTAACACTGCGTGATCAATGCACATTGTGATCTACGGGACCGTCTCCTCTGTTTTGTCCCCAGAAGGGCATTGCGCTCCTTGGGCAACAGCACGCTGGTGATTCCCGGCCCCAAAGATATCCGGCTGTCCTCGACTGGGGCCTTTTCGGTCCTAGCCCCGACCTGGTGGAACTCTCTTCCAAATCCCATCAGGGCCCTGTGGGACCTTATGCAATTCCGCAGGGCCTGCAAGGCAGAGATGTTCCGTTAGGCTTTTGGCTGAGGACAGCGACAATTTCCACCTGTCTGGCACCCTCTTCAGTTTTCCATGCTCCTTTCGACCTCTCCGCACCCCCCGGCCGCCCGTGAAACAGCCAGCAGTCTGTAACAGGGGGATAATTAATTCTAAGGCTTCCAGGGCTCTTTTTGTAGAAAAATCCCAGCAGGAACTCATTAGCATAATAGGCCACACCCAACAGCAGAAATTCATTCTGAGGCCACACCCCCAACAGCACAGTTCATTAGCATATTAGGCCACACCCCATGTCTTCCCTTGACTTGCTCAGGTGCCCCACGGCTGCGGGATGCCTGGCAAGCTGGCCCTTAAATGCCTCCCCGATCCTTCCAGGGGCCCCTCTGGCCCTTCCCTCCATATCCACACGCTCAGAGGTTTTAGCTGTAGTAGGCGTGGCCAACTCTGAAGCCAGCCGGAACTCCGTTCCTGTGCGTTCCTGCCCAAAAATAGGCCTGCTCAGGACCATTACTTGCCATCTGTCAGAAGATAAGAGAACATAAGAGAAGCCAATGTTGGATCAGGGCAGTGGCCCATCCACTCTGTCACACAGTGGCCAAAAAGACCAGGTGCCATCAGGAGGTCCAGCAGTGTGGCCAGGACACTAAGAGCCCTCCCACTGTTGCCCCCCCCCCAGCACCAAGAAGAAAGAGCATCCCTTGCCCCAGCCTGAGAGTCCCTACCTGTACCTTGTGGCTCATAGCCACGGATGGACCTCTTGCTCCAGATGTTTATCCAGTTCTCTCTTGAAGCCGTCCATGCTTGTAGCCGCCGCCACCTCCTATGGCAGTGAGTTCCACGTGTTAATGTAGTTTAATATGTTCAATTGTTTTATTTGGTGACTGTTTTTGATATTATGTACTTCACACAGAGCTCTACAATAGTATGGATAGGGTGATTCCTAAATCATCATCATCATCATGAGGGCAGAGGGGAAATGCTTGGGGGCAGAAAATTAGCATCTGCCCCACCTACCTCACCAGCAGTGTTCCCTCTAAGCTGAGTTGGTGTGAGCTAGCTCATAGTTTTTTAGCCTCCGGCTCACACATTTTCGTCTTCGCTCAGGAGGGATGGCTCCAAAGCAAACCATTTTATGCCGTAGCCAAGTCACTTGCTCACAACTTTAATGCCAACAGCTCACAAAGTAGAATTTTTGCTCACAAGAATCCACAGCTTAGAGGGAACTTTGCTCACCGGGTGTCCGTTGTGGGGAGAGGAATGGAAAGGAGCTTGTAAACCGCTCTGAGACTCCTTTGTGTAGTGAAGGGTGGGGTATAAGTCCAATCTCCTCCTCTTCTTCTCTTCTGACTGGGATAAAAGGACTTGGGGGAATCTCCATTTCTACCTGTCCCTGACAAAGGGAACGTTGACTCCCAAAAGCTCGCCCCTTGAAAATCTTGTGGCGCTCTAAGGCGCTGCTGGTCTCAAATCACACAGGCTTTGATGCCGTGAACATCCATTTAGGCAAACGGCAGCTGGGATGGGGTGGAGATTTGTAAAACGAAAAACAGCGCTGGGGGAGAGAAACTTTGCTTCCGCTCTTCTCGTCCCTGGGATCAGAATGGCCCTGACAAGCTCGCCGGTTGTTGTTGAATGCTTGTCCTGCTCCCCAGGCAGCTTACAGCCATGGTGAACGACAGAGAGAGCCAAAGTTCCCGTTTGGGGAGTGTTGTCTCAGTGCTGTGCCGCTGGAGAGTGCCCGGTGGGATGCCTCCTCCACTCCCTCTGGCGGTGGCCGGGGAGAGATGAACCCTCGGCTCTCTGACGGCCAGGGGTCATTTCGTAGAAGAAGAGGTGCAGGAGCTCATTAGCATAACTCATTAGGATAACTTATTTGCATATGCCACACACCCCTGACATCACCGGAAGTGTGTCAGAAAGCAACACCCACTGCAACTTACCTGGCTGCTTCTTGCTCCTCATGGCCCGGGGCTGCTGGGAGCAGGGGGCGGGGCTTGTTGCATGTGCGACCTCCCCCTGGGCTCTCTACTGCCGGAGCTCCGCTCCTGTGCGCTCCTGCAGGAAATGATCCCTGCTGACGGCACCTCCTCTTCTCTCCCTAGCTTCGTGTTCCTGCAGCTGTACCACTCCCCTTTCTTTGGCGATGAATCCAACAAGCCCCTCCTGTTGCCCAACGAGGTAAGCCGAGCAAGTCGTTAAAAGATGCGAGAGGGCAGATGACTGGGCCGCTCTGAGTGAAGGGCGGGGTATAAATCCAATCATCTCCTCCTCTGATGATGATGATGGGGCCTGCTTGTCAGTGGAGCCTGTACACAGCACAGATCCTTGGTGGAAACCATTTTTAGCC